AACCCCTCCTACCCTAGAAACAAGGGACCTAACGAAAAGATGCACATCAATGACAGTAATTGAAAGTGTCAGACTACAACTAATTTGGTCTCTTAAACTACCTCAATTACAATGCGGGTCTATCCACAAGAGTCAGCGCGGGGGAGAGAACGGATGTTTGAGAATATACGTGATGGTCGGTTGCTGAGAACCGTCAGTATTTGGAACAATCAAAGGTAATATCACAAAATGAATCGTGGCTATGCGGTGCAGAAAAACAAGAGCGGTGCACTCAGTTGCACTGAAGTGAACACGACTAGAAGCCACAAAAAGTGAACCTCTCAGGCCGAAAAAAAGATGAGATATGTCAGAGACCAAATATAAGGAAGTGCCAGTCTTAAGCAACACATTCAGCAAACAGGAAGCTTCCAATTTACAGCACGACAGCCATATTACAAACAGCGCTAGTCTTTTACAATACACCGTCGGAATCTAAACTTTATTTCGTTTCAAGTAGCTAGAATCAACTACCGGAACTGAAGCTTGGCGCACTTGTCAGAATGGTTTGAAAAATTTAAACTAATACTTCTGTTGTAATGCTCGTTGTTTCAACTGGTTCCGAAATCCACTTACAAGGACAGATCAACGGCAATGCGTAAACGAACGCTTACTCGGACAATCTCTTCCAGGAATGGGACCCGATCGAAACGCACAGCCGCATGAATTGCACTATCCCCATTATCGTCCGGGGTCTCGGTCCAAGGACGAGCTCTGGATTGCCCGGACCCGCGTGGTTGTAATGATTGTTCGATCAGAAGTGTACAGGATGAGGGGATCAAACGGGTTGGGTATCTCAAAGTAGAAGCAACACAATCGGTGCCCAACGGACGAGTCACATAGCCGACACGAAAACCCGCCTGGAGTAACAATGACAAGCAGCGTAGATAGCCACGTTGCACGCAGCTGTCGGGAGTGGCGGGGGGTGTAACGAAGAAATTCTATCAAAAAAAGTGCAAGATAATGTGTTTGCACTCATAAATAAAAAGTGCGGAATCTGCTCTGCTTCGTTCAACCGCGATTTGGTGTTGAGTTGTCCATACAATCTAATTCAATACCTTCATACAGTTCATCCCGGCCTTCATTCTTGTGTAAGTGGAATATTAATCGAATTGGGACTATATGTTTACGGTAAGTTTTCTAATTATATCTATTCAATAAACAAATCAAAAGTTTTGCTGATTTATCACATCGAACTACCATTGTTATTTCTTCAGATACTTGATCACTCCAGTAGTTGTAAAGATGTGGGTATTTTACAATAAGTAGTACCTGAATGGAAATTTTTGTGATAACCGACAAAGAGCACTAGGCAGTTGTTTCACCCTGCTTGGGACTCGTCAGCAGTGCATTTAACTGTCGCAGAATTGACGATCTCTAAAGGAGAGAAACCCACACCCAAGATCATTAACAGTACTCAGTGTCTGTGAAAAACGGAATAAACTAATCGCAACATTCACCGTCTAAAGTATCGGACTGATAAAATTCTCCTGGAAGCACTTTGTTTTGCGTCTTTCATTGTTAAAACTTAAATTGTCATTTTATTCATTTAACATTAGTCCGTGGCTATTCAATTAATAAGCTTTCATCACTGTTGGTTGATTATCACGGTTATTTTGTCCAAAGACTTAAGTTGCCTGTGTAAATTCAACTTTAACTGATGTCTCAATATGTGTAATTCTTCTACTACCCCGGTCAGGCTTCTTGTACATGAAAGTTCAAGTATACCACATAGACATAGAAGAACGCGATTCCTATCGAGGTACTACCATTTGGTCCCGTTATGAACATATTCAACTCATTCGTTTCTTATTCTTGCGCACACTGTGTGAAAGCGATCGAATTGTTACATTGACCTTTTGTGCTGTGTTATTGTACGTGTGTGCCATATAACACAAACGGAATGAAGGACTGACACATCGACCTCAGGGATCAACAACAGCCTTAGAATTCACGCTGTATAATTAATTAGATAAAATACTCTTCTGAGCGACAGGATAAGTCATCGCGAGACTATTTTGATAATGTGCACACAAACTAGTCACAGTTTTGCCATAAAATAGATTAGGTTTTCATGAACATTTTCAATCTTTGCCAAAACCACACATGTACCAATTCATTCCGCAATTGGAGACAAATGTGGTGGCACTCACACTAACAATGAGGCTCCGAGGCAACTGCGTGTCCAAGCTAGCAGTTCCGAGTCACTTAACAGATTCACAAACGGTTGCGTTTTCTCTTCTGGGTGGATGGTTGGACTGAACAGTAGACCACTGAGTGACGTGAACGCGGACAAGGCCCGTTCGGAAGTGAAGTCCAGAACGCGCTTCCCCAGCTCCACCCCGGTTGTGCCCAAATTTATCGCTCCAGTCAGGTTGGCCGTGGTCGAAGTCCAACTAGAAGATGAAGACGAGCTGGCCAGCTCCCCACCGAACAAGTCCGAACGCATATTGGTCACGGTGGAAGTCAAATGTTGCTGTAACGGTTCGGTTTGTGAACAGTTAGCCAGCACATGTAGACTGCATTGCAAACGTAGCCCGGCGGGTAGCAACTGTTCCAAATGCGTGTCGTCTCCACTTTCACATGCAGCCACCACACCTGAAATAGCAACGATAGAACTAGGATAAGAAACCGTGAAAACAGTAATGTTTTGTGACATCCGGTATATCATCTAGAACTCATAGCCCCTATGTCATGTGGTACAAACGTGAAGAAGGCTAAACAAGAAATTCAATTGCGTGCAGCGTTTTCACATGAGAACGCTTTGTGTCTGAGTACACAGGTACCAGTGGATTTGGTCCGTGTGTGTTTCTCTAACCGCGGCTCAATCGAATTTGAATTTATTAAAGCTAGATCGATGATCCAGGGCGTCGAAATGAGCCAAGAGTTTAGAATCGAGCTTATTACGCTCGACTATTCCGCGCAACACGTCCTCATGCACACACTTACACGATTTAATCTGTACTGTGTCATGAGCCGTGATGCAAAATTGAGCACTATTTAGTGTTGCCGATGGGGGTTTGATGCCTGCATTACATCAGAACTACCGATTCGTGGTAGAACTCTATACAAACGTTTAAGCGAAGTTTGTGGATAGAGTGTGCGGGGGTGTCATGCTGATCGCACTAGTTGATCACTTTACCGTATCTCGAAGATTTTATCTAACGCGGCTTTGAGCGTTGGTGGCTAAGTGGTTAGGTCACGAAATTGTGACCCGGAAGTACCGGGTTCTAACCGTTCCACTGCTGCCCGTCTTTCCAAATTTCCATATTTTTCCAAGCAGCCATTGTATGGCCGCGGCCCCTTTCTGAAAACTGACCATACATTTGTATATTCACGAAATGAAAAAGGAAGTAAAAAGACAAAAATACATGTGCCCTCTGAGTGCGTTAATAAACACTGATTGCAAGCTCGTAACAGGTGCTCAAACTGTGAACGCGCACAGTTCAACAGCTGATCAATGATTGTCTACTGGATCAAATAGTTTAGGAATGTGTGATTAAGTTATACCAAAAGATCTGTTGAACTGATGCGCCATGTAACCAGAGACATCCGTCGGAAATCGATATCATGCAAAAGTTGACCAGCCGACAGCCGACCTCTGGAAGCTGAGAAGGTAAAGTAAAACGACCGACTGGTCAACGTTGGTTTTCCAGTCTCGATATCGGTCGGCTCGATTTAATATGCAGCTCGGTACTTATTATCGTGTTCGAGGGATTAGTCTCATCTCCATTGCATCCAAGCTGTTAAAGTCGTTGATCTTTCTCAGGCTCAGTTGGATCAGAGAGAGAGAGATTCATATCCGCGAAGAACAAGCTGGATTTTGCTCTGGCCGGAACTGCTGTAATCACGCATTTATGCCACGTCAGATTCTCGAGCAAAGTCAAACGTTCAGTAAACCGACCATCATTGTGTTTTGGGACATACATATTCATAAACAAATATATCTATATATATATTTCAGTTCCGGTTTGAACAACCATTAACCACGCATATTCGAGCGCCGGTTTTGGTTGCTGTCTTTTGG